GTTGGAGTCTAAAGCGTTAGTATGTAGTTGATAAAGGGATGAGGACTTTAATACCTCTTTGATTTCTACAACTGGATTGAATTTGGCTGACGAAGATGTAGAATAGGCCGACTCACCTGGTAAGGACACTTTTTTGTGATAAAAAAACGGCCAATCTCAGCTCAATCCGTTGTACACAATCCGGGTGGTACGCTACAATGGCAACAATGCACCATTGAAAGTTTGCAAATATGAATGTAGTTAATAATTAGCGTTATGCAAAGTCTGGAAGGTCTTGTGCGTCCGGGTGAAAAAAATGTCAGCCTGGTTACCAAACCTATTATAGCTCCCGAGTCATACAGCCTCTCCGCAAGTACTATTTACGTAGAGGATGTAGGACTCGGGAGCTATAATAGGTTTGGTAATCAGGCTTAAGAATATGAACAAAACAGTTGATTTCGGGGTTTAAATGTATATACTAAAAGCACAATACTAGTCAGTAGGTAGTATAGTATACTTGTTTCTTGCAACAACAACAAAAAATGAAACACACAGTCACACAACGAAATATGGTGAATCATAATCTTTTTAGTTTATTTGGCATCTTGATTGTACGTTTATAGATGATATTTAAACAACTGTATTTGATACTATACTGCTGTTGGCAATATAGTCATTTCTATCTTTCACTCAGTCAAGTAATGGAATGTGAAGCAAAAAAGTTTCAAGCTAACGTCTCTTCCTTTCTGTAGCTATTTCAGAACACCATTTAAAACTGCTTAATAGACTAAGAAATTGCAGGCATATTTCTTAATGCAACAAGAAAGCAAACATTAAAGATGGCAATCCTAAAGTTGCCAGTGTTAAAACATTTCATAGCAATTTCATGTCATAATCTCAACATTTGCCTATTTAACATCAAATGATCTTTTTTCCAACTGCTGAACCATTCAAAACTTCAAATATGTAGTATAACATGCCTCGAAAGTAAACATGGAGGTTTAAAACTTTTGTAATCAATTCCGTATCGATTATTGATCAATTATGAAAAGAAATAAATACGGAATTCTACTGCTATGGCAGCAAGCAGCGTTAGCATAAAGGTGGTTAAGCAAATAAAGCAGCAACGTTGCAAAAATATTCAATATTGCAAAATAGTCAATGTGGCAAAAAATGTAAGCTAACGCTTCATAAAATACCTAGTTTTGATGGACGGTTAATATAACATATATCAGATTTACTGATATTAATCTTAAATAAGATCAAAAATAAGTGCATTGTAGTTGCAACTGCAGCGAGCAAAGTTCAAACAATCGTAATTAAATTCCACATCGCGATTTACATGGTGGTCCATCCAAGCCGAGAAGCACAATGAAATTTCACACGTTCAAACATATTTGTACATGGAAGCTTAACTTCTATACAGGCGTCCCTGGCAACAAAACTAGATCGAATACTTCACATTTGAAATCATCTTTCGGCTGAGTAGATGTGTTTCTAGTTTTGTACGTGAACATAGTTTTGTACGTGAACTTGAGTAATAATTGCTTTCGATAATCTTTACCAAGGTTTTACGTTGAACACCCTTCTGTTCAGGTCTATGACTATGTAAATGTGTCGTTTTTTTTTAATAACAAGCCCCTAAAGCATCACGTCGTGACAGATATGCTTCATTTGATGCTACGTGAACTCTATCTAGTAGCCTTGGCTTACTTTGTTTGGCCATTTACAAGCAAAAATAAGCCGTCTGCTGTTCCAATTCTCTCGCAAAGTAAGGCACGAGATAAATTTAAAGAACTTGCCGAATTCTACTTTTCTTAACCACTTACTATTTAAAGGCCTGTTGGAGGGCTACAAAGCACCTTTGACCTAAAAGGTGCACCTCAAAACCCCCTGAAAACGTCCCCTGCCACATCACACATGTCACAGCTTCTGGAATATTTCTCAGAGGATATGGTTTCAATTGCTGCATTTTCGACTCTTCCGGCCATTTATTCACCCTATAGGCCGTCTGTAGTATCCATAGCCCCCTTTTTGAAGGCCTGGCGTAGGCTGCTACTAAGATCTCCCCCTTAGAAGGCTACTCTTAGCACCTTTGCATCAAAGATGCACCTCAGAACCTCTAAAAAATATCAACAAATCTTCTGGAAGATCTAAAAAAAAGACTTGTTTGCACGCTCCAAAAATCTGTCCCAGGACACGCGCCGCGCGTCGTTTGACGCAGGCCAAATGATATTTCTTTGCCCCGTGTAAATCGGCCCATAGACTCTGATAGATACATTAGACCCCATGCATGCGCTACAAAAATGTAACTCTAGGATCGGGCTTATGGCTTTTCCCAGCCGAAGGGACCTCACAGTCTCTGAAAGATCTCGTCCTCCCGTCCAGGACCAGCAGTTCAGAATCATTTTTTAAAGAAACAAAATCAACTATAATACATGATTTTATCTACGTACGTTTGGGAAGGCCACGGGGAAAGGCTATCCTCCCCGACGTCAGAGTTTTTGCTAGACCCCCCCCC